AACTTAATGCTGATCTGAGCAGTATGTTCTTTTTTTTTTTTTTTTTTTGTTAGTTTATTTATCAAGACAAACTATTCCATAACCCAGTATTCGTGCTTCATAGCTCAGGAACACAGGTCAGTGACAAACTTCAATTGAACTCAACCCAAAGAAATTCTTTACATTCCAAAATCACTTTGCACTCTGAAAGATACCAGCCCTCCTCATCTCCTCAAAATCTTTCATGGAATCGTAATTTCTGTAGAAATCTGCATATGCCTTCTTTCTTGGTTCGGCCACAGCAAACTTATAGAAAGCTGCAACCCCCAGGGATACAACGAAGGCTCCAACAACATGAAATCGCAGACGCTTGGCCAGAAGGCCTCGCATCTGAGGTTTCGTCAAAGCACTGGAAGTCATGGTAGTTATTCTTCTCTACACCAACCTCAACCTAACGTCCTTCCTAACAGATAATGAAATGGAGCAGTATGTTCTTAATATATTAAGCACTTGGGGGGCCTTCGGAGATAATAAAATTGGAATATGTCAGGGTTGAAGATGAACCCAACAATTAATCTGGTTGCCAACCTAGTAATACATGTTAGAAGGGGCAGGAAAACCCATTGGAAGGTGATTGTAATATTATAAAGAAGAGAATTGCTTGAAATAATTGGGGACAAGGAACAAATGGAAATGGATATAGGAAATACTGCTGTAGGAGAGATAACGGGTTTAGCATATTAGTAGGGCATTGGAGGTGGTAGTGAAAATACTAGAGAGTAGAGAAGATGCCTGGGTAACTGGGTAGGTAGTGATGCCTTTATTAGAAATAGAACAACAAAAAGGGCTATGGCTTTTTTTTTCTTTTAATTATATAAATAGCTTAACAACAGTTAGAATTTCAAATCACCCATTGTCCCATCATCCTTATACATTCACTATTCTTATATTGCCTGTTCCCTTCAGGCCGTGTCCCTAAGTGCATATAAGTTTTACATTTATGGTGCTGTTCCATTAAAACAAAGAAACAAACAAGCTTGATATAAGTATTTGAGAACTAGCTTTAAAAGATAAGCTGCCAGGTTTTAGGTTTGTTCATTTTCAGATGTTTACAGAACTTCTAGGTAGAATTAGATATTTGGAAGAACTGGAATTGTTAACCAGATGCTAATCCTGTTTTTACTTAAAATTTTAATGTTTTGTTCATCGTGGATGTTTTTGCATTAAGTTGTTAAAGATATTGCATTAAGTCATTATTTATCTTAATAACTGAGTTTTTTGGTGCCCCCTTAAGTCTTGCCTCACTCATCTTACCCTTGTCCTGGTCCTGAGTGGTTGTAAAGTCCTGTGGGTGTCTAGACTTAGAGAATAAGAAGCACATGGATAGAAAGAGAAAGTGGAGATAGGAATTCTAGGAGTAATCTCCAGTTACAGGTGGGAAGAGGGAACGGATGCAGTGAAAAGGGAGAAGGTGCCATTCAAGAAACAGGTTGGGAGTAGAGCTAAGAAAGGGCATTCAGACAAGCTGGGGTAAGGATAGAATTTTGAAAAGGAAGCAGGGTAGTCATTAATGGTAACACTTTAGAAAGATTGAGAAGGAAAGGTATAGATTGAGAAGAGGTGGTGATATTTTGGTAATAAAGAGTATCACCCATTGATTTGGAGAGAGCAGGAGTTCCTGTAGCGTGTTACCACTCTCATCTGGAAGCTAAGGCAAAGATGAGTGAATTGGTGAGAACTAAAGCATAGATCTTCAGAGTATCAAAGGAAGGGACCAGTGTGGTGTAAATAGACAAAAGCAAGGGTTCCTGCTGGTAGGTTACTGTTGAAATGAATAATCTTGGCTCATGTGAGAAATAGATTTAACATTTTAATAAGTTCCATATGCCCTGGCAGGAGTGTTGTGGAGATTTTGCATTGTTTTTAAAATTCATATGTCTTCCATAATTTATACCTATGATATAGACCAAAGTGTGGTCTAAATTATCTTTTATTTGCATAAATAATTGGAAATCTTATAACATTACTAAATCTGTATTGTATAGTTGTTTTGAAGTATGTGCCTTTGTGTCATACATGTGAATTTTGTGATTTACTCAAAGATGTTCATATCCTACACATCTCTGTTGTTGCATAAGTATTATTATACTAAACATTGTTTTTCAAATAGCTTCTGATATTAATCACCTGCCTTTAAAAATTTTGGTTGTATTTGGGACTATATTTTTTTGTTTAATTTCACTCTGGGTATGGGTACTACTACACAATGTTTGCATAATTTATATTTCTTGGCTTTTGATCTTATGATTGTGGGCTTTCATAAAGGAGCCACAACCTTAGCCCCTGCTCTCCCCTATGTATATTTCCTTACCTTTGGAAATCTTATTTCTCACTTCTTGTGTTTACCCCTAAAGAATTCTCCTAATTCTTCATAAAGAATTCTCCTAATTCTTCATGGGCCAGTTGAAATGTCATTTACCCTAAAGAGGTTTTTTGAAGTCCCCTGGCCAGTCTCTGACCTGTTGTCTTCTTTCAGCAGATGTTTATTTGTTGTCTTCTCTGTATTAGGCACTGTGTTGGCCCCCTTTGAGCAAAACAGTCAAGATCTAGATCTACCCACATGGTACTTACAGGACCTCTTTTGAATGTCATTTCCTCATGTGTCTTAATCACTTCTTTGGTATCCCCTGCCTAAATATTCTGTCATCAGCTCTCTAAAACTAAGCTTATTCTCCTTCAAACCACTTTTCTGCTAGAATTTTCCCACTTTTAAAAAAAGTAACTATTTTCTGTTCGCTAGGATTAAAGTCATGGAATTTTCTGTGTTCACCTCTAATTAAGTCACGCTCTTCATTCTGTCAGTTCTTCTTTTATAATGAACTCCTTCCATTGCTTCATCAAGTTATGAGTGGGCTATTAACAGTACTCTCCTGCCTGCCTTTCTCTTTATTGTTGTCAGGTTAATTTTCCTGAAGTTCTAAATTTCCACCATTACCATATTGCTTTGGAATTGTTGGTTACCTGTTCAGTAGACCCCATGAAGTGAAAATTAGGTATGTCTCCTTTTCTCAAATCCTTTGCATCAGCAGCATTTGTCTGTCTTTTGAATTCAGGTTTTGTTTTGTTTTGTTTTTCCCTGAAAAACAGTATTCTCATTTTTTTAAGTTTCTCAAGTCAGCTTAGCTCAAGTCTTGCTTATTTTACAAACCCTTTCTTTACTAAATAAAGGAGACTGCTTTTTTATCTTTGAATTGCTGTAACACATAACACCACCAAGTTGACATGTGTATACAGCAGATTCTGTGTAATTTTATATATATTTACAGTGTTCTCTCTCCCAGTTAATCTTTGAAGTGCTTTCAAGTCAAATCTGACTGAGAGTACAGAGTAGGAACACTTTAGATATAAAGTAAAAAAACCACTGGCCATTGGAGAAATGCCCCTCTGAAAACAGCTAAAAATTTGTCACTTGTTTTTAGAGCTCTCTTTATTAGTTTTATATTAAACATACGTCACATAGTTCTTCATCCTTTTCAATGACCTAATAGTAATTAAAAGTTTTAACTTTTCTGTGCATGGTTGAAGGATCAAACACAGTTTTGTTTTTGTTTTTAAAGATTTTATTTATTTATTTGATGGAGAGAGATCACAAGTAGGCAGAGAGGCAGGCAGAGAGAGGAGGAAGCAGACTGCCTGCTGAGCAGAGAGCCCGATGGGGGACTTGATCCCAGGACCCTAAGATCATGACCTGAGCTGAAGGCAGAGGCTTTAACCCACTGAGCCACCCAGTGCCCCAAACACAGTTTTATGTAGTACATTTTCCATGCTTTGTTTGAATTTACTAAATTCTGGTTCTGTTACTTTGTGTATTCTCTCTGCTTTTTACATAATTCATACTAGTTCGTCTTATCATTAAAAAAACAAATAAAGGGGCGCCTGGGTGGCTTAGTTGATTAGGCATCTGCCTTTGGCTCAGGTCATGATCTCAGGGTCCTGGAATCAAGCCCTGTATTAGGCTCTCTGCTCAGCAGGGATCCTGCTTCTCCCTCTCCCCTTGCCTGCCACTGTGCTACTTGGATTTCTCTCTCTCTGTTAGATAAATAAATCTTTATTAAAAAAAAAAAAAACAACTAATCAAGGGGCTCCTGGGTGGCGCAGTTGGTTGGGCCTCTGACTCTTGGTTTCAGCTCAGTTTGTGGTCTCGGGTGTGGGATCAAGCCCACTGGAGCTCCATGCTCCGCCCAGAGCCTGCTTGAGACTCTCTCTCTTTCTTCTCCCTCTGTCCCTTCCCCTGAGTGCGCTCATGCTCTCTCTCTCAAATAAATAAATAAAAATCTTTTAAATTACGGTAATAGTACTGAGTGTACATAGTGGATCTGCAAGGAAAGTTCACTGGACTGGGAGTCAGGAAGACAAGGGCTCTCTCCAGATCACTGCTGTAGTTTTTAAATTCTAGGACAAATCTCTAAAGGACTTTGTGTCTCAATTTCTTAATCTGTAAGTAAAGGTTTCAAGTAAATGATCTCTTAAAATGTCTTTCTCAGGGGTGCCTGGGTGGCTCAGTGGGTTAAGCCTATGCCTTTGGCTCAGGTCATGATTTCAAGGTCCTGCATCCGGCTCTCTGCTCAGCTGGGAGTTGGCTTCATCTTCTCTCTCTGCCTGCTTCTCTGCCTACTTGTGATCGATCTCTCTCTCTCTCTCTCTCTGTGTCAAATAAATAAATAAATAAAATATTTTTTAAAAAAGTAAAATGCTTTTCTCAGTCTAATTTTATCATATTCATACTGACTCTAAGTAATCACCCTGTCTTTTTTTTTTTTTTTAACATTAGCCTGACTCTAGACTCTTACATTAACAAAGTTTTGTTGTGTTTTTCTTTTAGATTCTAGTTAGGTTCAGTCAGTCACTGTTTCATTTGGGATTTGTCCAATTCTGGGAGAAGTGTTGTTTTCGTAACAAACGTCCATTAATTGTTGATAAATTAACCTATTTGGGATTTACTTGCTTTTTTTCTTTTTAAGGTATTTTCAAAAGAAATAATTCCAGATTGATGGATGAAATTTTAAAACAACAGCAGGAACTTCTGGGCTTAGATTGTTCAAAATACTCACCAGAGTTTGCAAATAGTAATGACAAAGATGATCAAGGTAAGCATGAGTATAAAATTGAGTATTTAATTTACGCAGATATGTTTTATGTTTCAAGGTAAATTCTGTCACTTTATTGTCACCATCTTTAATCATCAGATTTAGACTTTTCTTTCTTCATCTTGTTCAAAGATAATTTTCAGAAAAGGATAAAATTATGATTTTCATAGATACTAAAAAATAAATACATGTTAAAGATTTCATTTAATTCATAGACAAACCAGGAACCAGGCAGATTTTGTAACCAGTTCAAAAGAGAGTCCAGAGAATGGACACACAGGTCAGAAATACTGAAATGAATATGTAAATGGAGGCAAAACTGGTTTGTCTTTTGGGTTACAGAGAAGATAATTGATCCTCTACTGGACAAGATAGAATTTGCATGTCAATAGATAAGAATTTGGCATTGCTGGACTTTACTGGACAAAAAAGAATTTTGCATATCAGTAGAAAGAATTACATATCAATAGATAAGATAGAATCCTATCAATTATAAAATAGGTCCAGTAGAATCAGAGTCTGATAAAGTGGACCATTGAAACACATTTTTTTCCCTACAGTCTTCATTTTGATCTTCTCTTACATTATTGCTAACTGTACTGTGATTGTAGATGACATTTTAGATGAGTGAAGATTGTAAACTAGCCTATAATTCCTGTTTTCTAGAGGATTCATTCAGAGATATAAGGTCTCTGAGCACTCAGAGAAAGGAAGGCGATATATAAATACATATACACAAATGTGATGTGTGAGTCCTTTTAGAGGAGAGTAAATAGATATGTTTTGATATTGAATTTGAAGGACTTAAATGATTCTTGTTTACTAGAACAACTGTACTTTTATTTTAGTCTGAACTTAATGTTTCTTGAAACAGATTTTGAAATATGTCTGGAACAGGATGTTTTATTTAATAACTTTGGTTTTTCCTCCAGTTTTAAATTGCCGATCGGCAGTGAAGGTGCTCTCCCCAGAAGATGGAAAAGCAGATATTGTGAGAGCTGCTCAGGACTTTTGCCAATTAGTAGCCCAGCAGCAAAAGAGATCCACAGATTTGGATGTAGACATGTTTGACCGTTTACTTAGTAAGTCATACATACATACATACATACATGTGTGTGTGTGTGTGTGTGTGTGTGTGTGTGTGTGTGTGTGTGTTTAGTTTTGTCCCACAAGGGTACAGTATGAAGGAGAACATCTAGGTTCCACTTGCATGATAACGCCTGATTTTGTTGTTTTTACACTAGTGATGTTTCTGAAATTTTAAAGACCCACACGTGAAAATGGTTTTGAGATACGGAATTTGTAGTCAACTCACTTGCATGAGGACTAACTGGTAAGGAGAGGATATGAGAGGATTTTGGGAGGCAATGATGAATATTCTTGAATACATTGTCACCAGCCTTCTGGGATGTTTTCCAGCACCGACAGTGAGTTCTCCAGTTCTCCAGACACCACAGGAGTGTCTAGCAATTCAGTTCACTTCTGATGCTAACCACCTGGAGTCCGTGTTTGATTCTCTGGGTTTAAAGGCTCAGTCACACAAGACTGTCCCCACTTCAGAGGCCAGTTACAGTTCTCAGCCACCTGGACTGGCTACCTGATCAACTGCTTGTAAATGGGGGGGTTCCCGTCATTGTCGCCTAAGGTTTGCTAGTTTGTTAGAGTGGCTCACAGAACTTAGGTGGGACCTTCACTTCTGTTTACCAGTTGATTATAAAGGCTACAACTCAGGAGCAGCCCAGTGTTAAGAGTCTAGGACAGGGTCTTGGCAGGGGAGGGTGCAGTCATTTTCTGTGCCTTCTCTGGGTGAATCACCCTCTCAGCACCTCACTGTGTTCACCAACCTGGAAGCTTTAAGAACCCTGTCTTTTAGGGGTTTTTAATGGTGGTTCATTTATGTTAGCATGATTAATTAAATCAATGCCTCTTAGGATTTGAACTCTGTCTCCTGCCTCTCTTCCCCTCCATACCTGGAGGTTGGAAGGGAAAGTGGAAATTTTCAGCCTTCTAATCACATGATTGGTTTCTTTGGCAACTAGCTCCCTTCCTAAAGTTATCTAGAGGTCTAGAGGCTCACCAAGAGTCATAATTAACATAAACTCAGGTATGGTGGAAGGGTGCTTATTATAAATAACAAAAATACTCCTCTCCTATCATTCAGGAAATTGCAAGGATTTTAGGAGCTCTGTGCCAGGAACCTTGACAGAGACCAACTATATATTCTTTATTATATTATAATATCATACTCTTCTCACTGTGTCTTTTTAGTTTGACCTATCTGGTAAGTTCGAATTTAACAGCTCTTTAGGAGGCATTCCAAAGAATATAATCTTATCATTAATCATCGCTCCATTTTTAGGACTTTCTATTACGTGATACCAAATATACTTACTATATTTGTCATGTTGTACCAAGTATAACATTATACTTTTTTTTTCCTGTAACTATTTATAAAAAAGCCTTTAATTTGCTAATTCTCTGTGGAGCCCCCTAGGAACTTTTTGCATTAACTTTATGGTTCTTCTGCTTACTGGCATTATCCTTGATCCTTTTGAATAAAGGCAGCGCTTCTAACAAGTTCATGTCCATTGATAGCTTCTATAGCCATACAATTTCAGACATACATTTTTTTTTTCATTCACATAGAGTTTCCACTTAACCTTACTCATTAATCATGCGTTTTCTGTCTAACTCAGTCATTTGTTTGACTCCGCATTCTTGTTTCTTCTACTTTGACACATGTTCATCCCAGCGCATCACTAAGTCCCAACTTACACTGACTGCTCACCTCTTCCCCGACTCTCCTGTTCTTTTCTCATTGCCTGTTGTATTCAGTATTCAGGCTGAATGAACAGACTTAAAGTAGACTGTTGCTGGGGCTCAGTGTAGGTTACTGGAGAGTTGACTGTTTCCTGGATTCTGTAAGGCCTCAGCCAGAGAGTAATTTATGAGGATATCCTGAAAGTGATGCAGGGACCAACGGTAGCCTATGGAGAAGTGCTGAAGTGTTGAGCCCGGGTGCTATCTTCAGGGTAGTAAACCCACAACAAGTGAAAATGTACACAATCCATACGTTAACTTACTGATCGGACAGAAGCAAACCCTCTAAATACAGTCACCCCCAAAAGTTCTCTTGTGACTGCAGTTAATCACCGTTCCTACTCCCACGCAAAGCAACTGCGTATCTGCTTTTTGACTATACTTTTGTCTTTTCTATAAGTTATATATAAATGGAATCATACATAGTCTTTAATGTCTTGCTTTGTTTCCTCGGCATATTATTAAGGTTCATCCATGTTGCATGTATTAATAGTTCATTACTTTTTGTTGAACAGTATTCAGTTGTATGGATGTATATTTTGTTGATTCATTCATCAGTTGATGTGCATTAGGTTTGTTTGCACGCTGCTGCTGTGACCATTCACATACAGTCTCTGTGCAGACATGTTGTCCTTTCCTTGGTACATAGCTAATAGTGGAATTGCTGGATTGCATGGTGAGTGAATGTTTAAGAAACTGCCAAACTGTTTTCCAAAGAGGCTATACTGATGTTTATATTCCACCAGCAATGTAGAGGAGTCTAGATTCTTCACAGCCTTGCCAAGGCTTAGTATTGTGTGTGTGTGTGTGTGTGTGTGTGTGTTTAATTTTCGCTGTTCTAGTGGGTGTGTAGTATCTTATTATGGTTTTAGTTCACATTTTCCTAATGACTACTGACATTGAGCTTTTTTCATGTGCTTATTTGTCATCTGTATCTTCTTGGTGAAGAATCTATTCAAAACATTCTGCCTGTCTTTAATGGGTAGTTTGTCTTGTTACTGAGTTTTCAGAAGTCTGTATATTTTGGGTACACATCTTTTTTCAGTAGTAAGGTATGATTTATGAATGAATACTTTCTCACAATCCATTTTTTTTCTTAACTGTTTCTTTTAAAGTATTTACTCTTTAAGAAATCCAGTTTATCATTTTTTTTCCTTCTGTGGATCACACATTTGGTGTCATATTTAAGAAATCTTTGCCTAACTCTTAATCTTAGGAAGCAAACTGAGGGTTGCTGGAGTGGAGGAGGGTGGGAAGGATGGGGATGGACATTGGGGAGGGTATGTGTTGTGGTGAGCACCATGTATTGTGTAAGACCGATGAACCACAGACCTGTACCCCTGAAACAAATAATACATTATATGTTAATAATAATAAAAAAAATTTTTTTTAAAGAGAAATCTTTGCCTAACCCAGTTCTTGTTTTCTAGATTTTTATCACTTTGGCTGTTTAAATCTGTAATCCATTTCAACCTAATTTTTGTGAATGGTATTGGGGTAAACAAAATCAGTTGTTCTTTTACCACCATTTTACCACCATTTTTTCTCCTTGAATTACTGTGACTCCTCTGTTGAAACTCAGTTTACCATAAATCCTTGAATTTATTTCTGTACTTCTTATTCTGTTCCATTGTTCTGTATTGTCTGTCCTTCAAATGCCACACTGTCTTGATTACTGTAGCATCTACTGTGGTAAACTTTGAAATCATGTAGGGTAAGTCTTCCAACTTTGATTTTCTTTTTCAAAGTTAAACAACTTTGGCTACACTCAGGGCCCTTTCATTTTTATGTAAATTTTAGAATATGTTTGTCAATTTCACAGAGACACCCTGTTTTGATAGGGATTGAGTTGAATCTAGCTCAGTTAGGGGAGAATTGCCATCTTAACAATATTGAGCGCTCCAATCCATGAACATGGCATATCTCTCCACTTATTTGGGTCCTAATTTTTCTTTTAACAATGTTTTGTAATTTCGGGATTTGGGTTTGTGCTTATTTTGTTAAATTTATTCCCAAGTATTTTATTCTTCTGGTTGCTATTATTAATGGGATTGTTTTCTCGATTTGTTTTTGGATTGTTTATTGGTAATAAGTGGAAATATAGTTGCTTTTTAAATATTGATTTTGTATCTTGCCACCTTACTGAAATTCATTTAATAGTTCTGGTAGTTCATTTTGCAGAGTCTTAAGATTTTTTAAACACAAGATGATGTTGTCTATGTATAAAGATGCCAACTGCTATCTCTGCTCAAATTTTCTATTTTTTATTTTATTTTATAGTCTGACTGCCTGTGTCTGTCTAGTTTTATGTGTCAGATTATGATATACACACTGGTTGTACTCAAACAGTTTGTAAGGCTTCCCTGATTTCTGTGTGATGTGAGAGTGCATTCAGAGTTGCCACAGTTCTCAAGTCTTCTTGGCTGTTTGTTTTCACTGGGCTTTCTTGATGCCCTCTTTCCTCCTTTGCATGTATGCAGTTTCCTGGTCAGCTGTGGGTGTGTGGAGAGCTTATTTGAGCCCTTGTTTCTGGGATCTTCCTGGTAAATTTCTGACCATTATACTGCTTGCCCTCACTGGGGCTACAACATCAGGCCAACAGGCTGTGGCTTTTCCTCATTTGTTCACTTCTGAGTTTTCCACTTACAGTTGGCAAAACCCTAGATTTTCATCATCATCTGCCCCTCCCCCCCAATCTCCAGTTCCAAACTGAGTGTATACCTTTTGTCTACAAGCACCAAATCTGTTAGTTTTACTCTGAGCCCCATCCTGGTAAAAATGTGGTGCTCTCCATTTGACTGAGGGTAGAGGCATGGGGAGTTAGGACCATTCCCAGGCAGGAGACAAGGACCCTTACCACTGCTCTTACCTGACGCTCTGGCTGGTGTTTTGTTTTGTTTTGTTTTCTTGTTATTAAAAGAATAATTGTCTGCTTCTGGCCAGTACCCAGTCCCCTTAAATGTTTGGCTTTGTCCAGTTTTCTATGTTTTTTATGGGAGAGGATTCATCACCTTCACACTACCATTCGTGAGAAGTTCCTTCTTGCCATTTTTTATTTAATTTTTTTTTTTTTTAACTAAAGAGAATTTGCTTTTTACCAGGCCGAGGAATATATATTCTTCTTAGTCCACTTACTTTACTAATATGGACTTTAAAGAAACTTCATTACGGAAATAATTCTTTATTACTGCTGGATGAACCTGTCTCATCTAGTCTCCTTACTTATCAAATGAAACAACTAAGCCCTGGGGAGGTTATGTGACCAAAAGTTAGTGGCAAAACTGAAGTTATTAGAAACTGTTAGAGCCTGGGTCTCTTGGGTTATAGCATCTTTTCTGTTCTACCAGTAATTAATTTTTTAAGTAGTTGCACTATCCTTATCCCCTCTTTTTCTCAAACTAGGTCTTGTATGGAAACCGGGTTGTGAGACCAAGCGGCCATGCCTTTGTTGAGGCCGGTGTATAGTGTTTTCCCTCCCAGGGCAGGGGCTCTGGAGAAAACATTTATACTGGATATCTGGTAGCTGATCTTTGTGGGTCCTTAGCTATAAAATGGGTATTGGGGAAGGAAGTATAGTAGTTACTTTTATAGTTCCTTTTCATATCTGAAGTTATATGAGTCTATGAACTTACATGATTCTGTAAGCATTTGTGCCCCCAAAGCAGTGTGCTTCCCAGAATGCCAAGAGAACTCTTATGTTGAAAGATGAATGGGATTTGGGGGCTACCTGTAGGGTTTAGAATGGGAGTGGGGTTACCCCTTCTTAACAAGTAATCAGTTCAGTTAAATGGTCTTTAGAGAAAACTTTGACATATGGAAATAGCATAGATATTAAAGTATATGTTGGGCAGTGTGGTGGGGGTTGGATAAACCCTCTAAAGGAAACACCCTCAGAGCATAAAAAGCCAATTTGATTAACAGATTTTGCCTTCGGTCATTTTATTTGTAAGCAATGCATGTTAAATTCCTGTTTATTTCTTTTTAAGGTTCAACTGGTTTTCCTGATCCTGATTTAGTATTGAAGTTTGGTCCTGTGGACAGCACGTTAGGCTTTCTTCCCTGGCACATCAGATTGACTGAGATTATGTAAGTAATTAAAATGTGCTGACTTTGGTTCAATCCAGCAAGTGTTTCTCGAGCCTAGCACTGTACTAGGTATGGTGATAATTCCCAGAGACAGACAGTATTGCTCCTTTCCCTCAGGTATCTCACAGTATCAGTGGTAAGATAAAGACATATGTAGAGGACTGACACAAGAGAGTATGCTTGTGTAAGTATTTGGTACTGATACACATTGTCATAGGCGACCAGGAGGGAGAGATACCTCTGTGGGCCAGAGTTGTTGGTTTTACAAAAAAAAAAAGATGTAACTTGCTCTGGGGTATGTATGTAAAATGGATAGCATTTCTATAATTAGAAAAAAAGGTGAGAAGTGTAGGGGATGATGGTAGGAAAAGGAAGAAAACCTGGGAGGTGAGCAATGAACATCTTGTTTTCAAGAAATAGGGAACTGGTTGTACCAGAATGGAGACTTAGCACTATAGCATTAGATGGTAGAATAATTGATCCTTGAACAATGTGAGTGTTATGGGGGCCCCCGTATGCAGTCAAAAATCTGCATGTAACTCGACCCCCTAAAAACTTAACTATTAATAGCCTACTTTTGACTGGAAGCCCAACTGAATAACACCAATTAATACAATTACTGTATTCTTACAATAAAGTTAGCTAGAGAAAAGAAAATGTTTTTTAAATTATAGGGAAGAGAAAATAAATTAATAGTACGATACTGCATTTATCAAAAAATACCTTTGTGTAAGTGGACTTGTGCAGTTTAAACCCATGTTGGTCAGGGGTCACCTCTGTAAGGTGTAAACACATAATTTGGGGGTATCGATGCTAGGAAGGCTTTAAATACCAGCATAAAGAATATGTATAACAGTTTTTTGTGTTTTTTTTTTTAAAGATTTTATTTATTTATTTGACAGACAGATCACAAGTAGGCAGAGAGGCAGACAGATAAAGAGAGAGGTGGAAGCAGGCTCCCTGCAGAGCAGAGAGCCAGATGTGGGGCTCGATCCCAGGACACTGGGACCATGACCTGAGCCGAAGGCAGAGGCTTTAACCCACTGAGCCACCCAGGTGCCCCTGTATAACAGTTTTGACAGGAAGTAGGAAGCCACTGAGCCTGTGGATAGCATGAAGTGTCTGATTTTAAAAGATTTGTTTGGCAGTGTGTACTAGAGTAGATTCAATTTGGGAAAGGATGAGGTAGAGAGACGAGTGGAAGTCCATAACTATGATTTAGGAGATCATACAGTGATGAGAATGAAATTCCTTGTTTAGAAGAGAGTTGGCCAAACTTTGTATAAAGGACTAGGTGGTAAATATTTCAGGTAAGTATGTGGGCCATACAGTCTTGAGCTACTCCTCTCTGTTGCAGCTGCTCAACATTGGTAGTGTAGCTAAGCAGCCATGGATAGTACATAAACAAATATGTGTGACTCTTGAAGTAAAACATAAAACAGTATTCACAAAAACAGGTGGCAGGCTCTTGGGCTGTATTTGCTCACCCCTGATTTTATTTATTTTGTTTTAAAGATTTTATTTATTTATTTGACAGAGAATGCCAGTGCACAGCAGACGGAGCAGCACAGGGAGAGGGAGAAGCAGACTCCCCACTGGGCAGACTAGAAAGTCAAGGGAACATTGATTTTTGAAGAGAAAATGTTGAATTCAAGGATAAGTTGATTTTGAGGCCATAGACTATTTAGTGGAAACACTTAGGAGAGCAGGTGAAGATGTAGAATTGGTCCATGGATGAGAATTCAAGGCAATAAAAGGATATTTGAAGACTGACAGTACCTAGGAAGTAGTAGTAGTTGAACCAGTGAGAATAAAGGAACTTTCTCAAGTGTATATAGAAGAGCACAGTACCGAGGGATCTTTTGGTCTTTTAAGAAATGCTTCAAGTTCAGGGGCAGGACAGGGAAATGGTTTGTGGAATCAGAGGGCAGAAAAAAACGCATAGCATGCCAGGCAGAAAGAGCTATAGACCATATGATCCTACCTCCTTATTTTATAAGTGAGGAGAAGGGGGAAGAGACATTGCTCTTATTATTGCTTGTAATAAAGTGAAATTAGAACCTACATCTCCAAACTCTGGGTTTCCTTGTGATGGGTGTCTATTTCTCTTATTTCTTTTTCTGAGTTTGGGTTTTCTGAGTTTGATTTCAGGTACCTTTGGGTTGGGCTCCAAGAAAGCTAGCAGTGATTTCTTTTGAAGTTGAGCATGGTTTGGAGGGAAGCTTGTGTTGTAGAACAGATGGATCTCCTTTCGAATCTTGGCAATGCAATTCAGTAACATGACTTTGGATAGTTGTGTAAGCTTCTCTGTATTTGTCAAATGGGTATTTTAATAAGAAGTTGAGGATTTAAGTCTGATAACGGATATCAGATACCTAACACGTAACAAACTTTCTCATGGATTTTTGTACATATTTCTGTCCTAGTTCTGTGTCACATTATATTGAGGTCTGCTGCCCATCCGACTGGAAGCACTGTGATGTCTTAATGTCTTAATTATAATATGGAGAAGGAGATGGAGGAGAATGGCAAGACCACTTTGGAGGCACTGAGGGGTAGTGGCGCTGAGAGATTTTTGAGGAGTGATAGGAGAGGAAGCCATTGATAGGATAAAAGAGAAAGACTTAGGATAGTGGGTTGTTTGAGGAGGATGTCTGAAGGATGCTTCAGCAAGAGGAGGGTCGCTGACTTTGTCCTTTGAGGAAACCTTGTGAGCTTATTACTGCAGTAAAGTGAATAAGATAAAAGTTTGAGGGCAGAGATTATTAAGAGATAAGGAAATGGAGGGAAAGGAGACTTCTCTCAGAATTTTGGGCAGTTAAAGGAAGGGACAAGATTGTTAGTCAATTGTATTTCAGTAAAGCCAGGGAAGGCAAAAGGAAGGATGAAGAAAGCATAGCTTTGAGCACCACACAGTCAGGCCAGCAGTTCGTTCATGGTAGTTTGCCCAGTGGTACATGTGATTGGAACTCTGAATGTCTTTTGTACTCTGACCTGGTGTTTGGCTCTGGTACAGTTTGGAATTTCCAAAGCCTCACAATAAAGCTGTATAAATTAGAGAATTGTTTATGTTAATTATTGAAAATTATATTAAGATTTAAAATACTTAAAGGGGAACCTTCTAGCTGTATGTTCAGTCTGCCTTTATTTTTTATTTTTTTTATTTTTTTATTTTTTATTATTTGACAGAGAGAGATCACAAGTAGACAGAGAGGCAGGCAGAGAGAGAGAGAGAGAGGGAAGCAGGCTCCCTGCTGAGCAGAGAGCCCGACGCGGGACTCGATCCCAGGACCCTGAGATCATGACCTGAGCCGAAGGCAGCGGCTTAACCCACTGAGCCACCCAGGCGCCCCTTCAGTCTGCCTTTAAAGTGTTTGTCTTCACATCACACTCTAATTGCCTCCTTGAGCAATTAGAAATGGTAGAGATAAAAACTTACTGGTTGCTCACCACATGGTTTTAACATACAGTCATAGAAGGATCTGTGCTGTTCTGCCAGTGTTAATCCTGGCTTTCATAAACTGTTCAAGTAGTACTGGCTATACTCTAACAGAAAGGAGTTCTTCTTCTTCTTTTTTTTTTTTAAAGATTTTATTTATGTATTTGTTTATTTGAGAGAAAGAAAGAGAGAGAGCGTGCGAGCGCGCATGAGCAGGGGGAGGGGCAGAGGGAGAAGCAGACTCCCCGCTGAGCTCAGTGTGGGGCTTGATCCCAGGACCCCAGGAGCATGACCTGAGCCACTACCCTGGATGCCTCAGGAAGGAGTTCTTAAAGTGAATTTGAGTGAGATTCTTTATATATAGATCTCCAGTTTTACATTAATTTAGACTTAGGCTTTACTATACATTCTGAATCGCTATCTCAAAATACAAGTTGCTCTTCTTATGGAAAGAAGGAGAGAAAGTTTTTTACTTGGACTGTTTCACAGTGAGTTTAGCAGTCATTTAGTAGAAAAGGTTTGACATACCCTACACTTGTAATGTACTTTCTTCTGTCCTTAACTTCCTTTGGGTCATTATCCTTCTGGTTCCCCGACCAAATTACAGTATACCATTTAATTGCTTTTTTCCCCTGTGCTTTCTTTTCAGCTCTTTGCCTTCCCATCTGAACATCAGTTATGAGGACTTTTTCTCTGCCCTTCGTCAATATGCAGCCTGTGAACAGCGTCTGGGAAAGTAGTGATCCCTGGCTGCGTAATTTGATTTCAGGCTTTTGGAGAAAAGGACCTAAGTGACTCTGATGTTTACAAATCACCTATGAAACCCTGTACACACCTAGTTCATAATCCTCATAATTTATCAACAAACACAAAAAAGTGTCTTACTTGAGAGTAAGAGTATGTGTGAGTATGAGTGTGTGTGTGTGTGTGTGTGCGCGTGTGTGTTTGTGTAGAAATAAATTTATAAATGGGGGAAGTATTGGAGAAGGAAAGACGTAGACCTGCAGTTTGAGCAAATAGCCGCAGTGTTTTAGGAGCTGAAATGTCAGATTTAAAGGTTTCAGCCTCCACTACTTCCCCATTTTTGTGGGGAGCAGAGGGGGTGACTAAAGCTATTTGGTTGTTGTGTTGAGGGGAGGGGAATAATTTTTGTTCAGTCTTTCCTAGTGACCAAACTTAATTTTTAAGAATAATATATTGACTTATTAAATGGAACTGTTTTGAGCTCGAGGAATCTCCAGAAGAGTGGAGTTCTGTGTTGGTCACATGTTAAAAGCGCTTGCTCAGCGTTGGAGCAGAGGGCATACCTATTTCAGATATCCGTCCATTTTCATCTCATTGTAGTTGAACAGTGTGACTTCTGAGGGTTGCTCTGGTGTCTGTTCTGGGTTGTGAAGATCATCTGAAAAAGAACTCTCACTACATTGAAAAGCAAAATTTTAAAAAATTTACATACTGTATTAGAAAGTCAAAAATTGAAAAAGTTATAATCTTAAAAGTAAAGTTGGAAAATTTCCTAAAATAGAGAAGAAAGTAATTTCCTTTTTCATTTGGTGGGCAGCGTGTGCCCAAAGTTGGTTTAAAAAATATTTCCATTAACTATTTTTATTTAAAATAAGCATTTGAGGGAAGTTACCAAGGCAGCTCTTTTCTTCAAAAGTAGTAACCTGTTCCTCTTTGGAATAGCATATTTCGGGCCATGTTAGTACCCAGGATTTTTACTCATTTTACTCTAAATCCTGATGGTGACTTTGCCTAAAAGAACTTTAAGTAAGACTGAGGTCTGTGTGGGTAATAAAATATTACCAAAGTCCACAAAAGTAATTTAAATTAATTTTACATGTTCTCTTTCATGACAGAGAATAGCACTGGTTCTGTTATTTTTTAAATGAATAAGTGATTTTTTGATAGGTGTTTAATATTTCTTCCCTCACTGCTGATCTTGGACAGAAACCAGTCTTTATATTTGATGGACTGTTTTCAGAAAAATCTTAAGTGTACAATAGTTGTCTAAAACTGTATGTTTAGGGGTGCCTGGGTGGCTCAGTGGGTTAAAGCCTCTGCCTTCGGCTCAGGTCATGATCCCAGGGTCCTGGGATCGAGCCCCGCATCGGGCTCTCTGCTCAGCAGGGAGCCTGCTTCCTCCTCTCTCTCTGCCTGTCTCTCTACCTACTTGTGATCTCTATCTGTCAAATGAATAAATAAAAAAATCTTAAAAAAAAAAAAAAAAAATAAAACTGTATGTTTAGAATGGAGCAGCTTAAATACTAGGTCTCAGAAGTCTGAAAAATAGCAAAGAAGACTGGGTTTGGAAAGCAAGGTCTGAAGTTGCTTGTCATATTCTGAAGCTATGGAGAATAAATGTTTCCACTTTGGATTACAAAACCCCATTTATGATTTTAAAAATTACACTTGAAATAAAATGATTAAACTAAATTTTGGTCCAGTGACATTACTTTGCACTTCATAGTCCTTTGTACATTATAAGACTTTTTTTTAAGTCTTAATTTATTGCTGAAAGTTTTTATGTGAAACTGTAGCCTATCTCTGAACTTTACTAGACAATTTCTGATTTCTGTCCCACTGTACTGTGATCCATGTTCTATTGAGGCTTTTTTGCCTTAGTTTGAGACTGAATTTATGTCCTTTATAAACACGATATGTGTCTTTTGTAAACATTCTGGAAAATGTATGGCTTTAATGAGTTAAATTTAATGGGCCTGATTGAAGGGAAGAGATTTATTTGTTAAAATGAAGTTAGTAAAAAAAAATAAAAATTACCCACTGGGATATAGCCAAAGCTGCTAAAAGTTTAATGGTTGAGTCTTTGTACCTTTCTCTTTCCATTTCTTAACAGTGTAGTATTTAGTATTACACATCACAATAAACCTATAACCTGTTACCTGAGTCTATTCTAATCCTAGGAAGAGATCCTTAAAACAAGTTGCTGAAGATTCTGAATTCAGAGAACAGGCATTCCAGATCCTTCTCCTAAGGAGTTTAACTTTAATATCAGTCTCCACAACTTGAATGGCATTGGTCATTCTGTAATTCCTGCCAAAATCATCACAAGTTATGTATCATCAGGGCTCCTTTTGCACTCCCAAGAAGAACTGATAACCTTAAAGAAAACTGTTGTTTGTCTTTATGTGTACTCAAGGTTTTTGTCTTTACATTGTTTCTTCTTGACACTCCCCACAATGGAAAAATCACTAAACCGACTTTAAGGATGGCAGCTTGGAGCATAGCAAAAACGTGGAGTGTTTGAATTCCATTCCAAATTCTGGTTGTATTTTGTTACTTAAACGTGATTACTGTTATAACAAAGTTTGAAAGCTGCTTTTGATGTGACTAGCAAAATTCTGGCATATTGGGACTAAGGCTTAAGAATACCTATCTCTGAGAGGAAGGTGTTACAATGTTAATGAACAGTGCCAAATACACTGTGCGTATCTACAATTTAATCTTTGAATGTATGTTACTTGATTAGCTCCCTCCTCCTGTGTGATGGTACCATGCATAGAGTCAAATCCTTGTGGTGTTTTGTATGACTGTAGACTTTGGCAACATGTAAATAATGTGTAAAGCAAGTTTTTATGATTGAGGAATCAAATTTATTGAATTTTATTATTGAAAGTTGAAACTTAACATGTATGAACAAAAACAATAAAAGAATATACTCTTTTCATGGACTATAGTAGTATGTGAATGCTACATTTATTCTAAACATTTAGGGCCTGAAGAAATTTACTGAGAAACTCATGAATAGATAGCAATACCTTTTTTCTTTTCTTTTTTTTTTTTGGATGGTATGTTCTTGATTGAAATGTATTCTCAGGTTAAACATTTTTTACCAGATAAAACATTTGCAGTCTTAATGGTATTTGCTTCTTGCTAGATAACAGCAAGATAAAATTCAGCTTTGCCATTGTTAGAATTCTCAAAATTCCAGAAAAATTAAAATCTAAATTGATTTTTATTAAGTATGGAATGCCAAATTAAAAACATATATGTGTACTCTTTTAAGAAATTTGACAGTCCTTGTTAAGCTAGAAAATAGAATGGTAAGAACTCTGATTTGTCTTGCTTTGCATAGACTATTCACCCGATTTCTAATGCATAATTTTTATATGAGATCAGGATTTTCAAAGGGTACATTTTAACTTCTGTTAAAAGGAAATGCATTTAACAAAAATTAGGAGGAGTTCAGTATAGTTTGAAATAAAACCCAGGAAACAAGATTAATGTCCAGTTGTCCAAGAATCCTACTCGATAGGCCATAAACTGATGAAATTGGTGAGAAAAGGGGAGTACAAAAAGAATTTTCATACGGTTTTAGAAATACACATTAATTGTAGAAAAATAGAAAATTCAGAGAAGCAAAAATAAAGGAAAATAATCTCTAATGCCATCACTCATTGATTACATTTTTGGTGACAATCCTGAAATTTTTTGTACTTACATTTGAAAAAAAAATGAATTCTACTGTAAGAGGCTTAATAAAGAGATTCTTTTTAAGCCACAAACTATAAATTGAGAGTCTTGCCTTCTGTTTTGTATTTAGTTATTGTGTCTGGAAATAAACAGTCACGTGAGCACATGAAAAAATGTTTGGAAGAAATTAAAGTCCATATTCAGTTACCTTTAATTAGTATTTAACCTTGGTCTAAGTTCTTCTTTACACTCCTCATTTTTACCCTCCATTTGTCTTATAGAGATTCGGGACCTAAAAATAAATTTTAGCATCCAGATGCATACATCCTGATGAATGCAAAAAATAAAAATTAGATATACTTCCAGATCAGACTATGGGTTATCTGCCACTGACCATGTTTATACTTTCCCATCAGTAATAGTAATATTTAAGTTGATTTAATGAGGACAAGGAAAAAAGACATTGTTTGGCTCAAAGAATTTGGAAAGCCTGAGCTAATGAAAAGATCTGAATGTAGGTTAGTCATTAACAACATAGTTACACTTGTATAGAGTATCTGATATTTCCATTCTGAAGTTAACTTCAACTGCTACATCCTATGGATTTGGATTGATGAAGCCCCCCCCCCCCTTTTTAATATGTATTTTGCAGTATTATTCCTCAGTAACTGTTATGCATAACTGCCTTAGATTTCTTATTTTTACAAAGTGAAGTGGAGAAATAAATAGGGGTAATAGTAATCAACTGTTTTCACCAGAGAGGGACCAATATTTTAATTAGATTTCAGATAATTAGAAAATGGGATGGAAGAAAAACCTGGAAGTTACCTAACTGGAGATGTTTGACAGCATTTGTCTAGTGCTGAGTTCTCAACTGGAGTGATGACACCCCCTGACAACATCTGACAGAGACATTTTTGTTTGTCACAAGTCAGGGAATACTACCGGTATCAAGTGGAAAGAGGCCAAGCTAGGGGTGGTGATGGATGGTGTCCAAAATATGCTATAGCACAATTTTAAACAATTTGAGTTTGTTTAGATTTGAATTTATAGATGAAATAAATGCTCACTTTTATATACATAGTTTCATTATGTTAAATATATGAACTTTTTTCTACTCATGAGTTCTAGTCATTACTTTCACATTTTCCCTTGACATTTTGAGACAGCAGTTTTCTAGAGCATGCCAGCTTGTTGTCTAAGCTTAATTGAAAGAAAGCAGTGTTTTCTGAAAATGGTAAAAGTTTTACCCACATATGATGTTACAAGAACTCCCATGCTTCAGATCACCCACTGTATAAACATCGAGGTAGCAATTTCTTCCTTCATCCTGCAGGTAGTTGATTTCCACATTACAACCACTTAAACTGTTCCGAAAAATGCTTGTACTATATCCTATGCGTGTTTTTGAGGTCATATTTCCAAGAACAATGACTAAACATTGTGAATTTTTTTTTTTTATTTTTCACCCTTTTTAGTATTCTGAAAGTAATAGTGAAGTGCTTCAGTCTAATGTGATTTTCCTAAATATTACCTGTGATTCAAATACATAATTAGAGTGCTTCTCACAAAGAGATTTTGGTTGGCCTGGAGAAAGATGTCTTTCCTGAGGGATAATTACAGAGAAATAAACCTGCTGACATGGGATATATATGTGTCTGTGAAACAGTCCTGACAAGTTTGTCACTTACTTCAGAGTCTGAGATGCAACACCAAATATAACGCATTCAGGAGATTTAACAGGAATGCACAAAACATCCCCAGGCAGACGATTTCATTAAATATTCATTTATGAGTTCCTTGGAAGCAGAAACTCATCTATCCATAAATATGCAGAATATCTAATTGCTTGCAAAATCAGACCCTATCAGCTGTACTCTGAGGTCCTCAGCTTATCAGATGGGTAAGGCCAGCCACGATGCTCACAGCATATCAATTGGTGATACTTCTAATTAATTTAAAAGAAAATCCTGACTTTCCTGATGCTACTCCTGGGGACCCAGGAAAAGAAAAGCGCAGTTAACCAAAGGAGCATGTGTGTTTTGGAATGTTAGTTTTGTCACTATAAGAAGAAACAGATAACACACGTAAACTGGCACTACTACTTGATTTCTGAACTGATGATTATATCCAAGAGTTCTCTGTATTTTTGTAACCTAGCGGGTTGTCCCAAAAGATGGACCTAAAATTTTGTAGGTCCATCTTTTGGGTGGGGAGGGCTTCTGCAATCTAGGTGTCAACATCATTCCTTTTTCTCTCAAAATCTCCTTCTTCACCCCGTGTGAAGAAAAGACATTTCTTTTCCAGTTCACAACTAATACCCACGCTGTGTCTCTGATACCGTCTCTTCCTCTCTTTGGGACTTTTACTTTTTCCTTCTCATTTTCCAGTCTCTGCTAAACACAGGGGACTCTCGTCCTGAGTTCCAAATGCGCTGAGCTTTTCCAATCCCTCAATTTATGGCCCCTCTCCAAACTCTACTGCTTACCCTCTTGAAAGCTGCGCATCTCCTTATTTCCTTGGAATTCCTTATCCCTTTACCCCACTCCCATTCCACTAAGAGCATCTGACTCACTTTATGATTTACTTAACGTTTATTTTTCGTAGACTGCCTCCCTGGAGAGTGTAAGCTCA